TTTCTCTCTCTCTCTCTCTCTCTCTGGAATCTTTAACTCTCAGTATAGTTTTTCTCTCTCAATTTTACATAATATTTCTCACACTTACATGTACTATGTCTATATTCTCTCTACATATAGCTGCTCTCTCCACCTCCACACATTCCTTTTCTCTCTCTCTTTTTCTCCCCTAAACCCCCCTTCTTCTCTCCCTACGCTCCCCTGGTGCTTAACTGGAAACAAAAGTGAGTTTGTTGTGTGAAGAAGAGGACCTGTGGAAGGAGCAGCCAGGGAGGCGGCAGTGGAAGCAGGCTGGGGCCAGAGGCAGCGCTGACAGCGGGGAACCCCAGCACTCAGCTATTCCAGGGAGCAGGTAATGCCCCAGGCAGAGCTGGTTCATATCCTGCTCTCTGCCTGTCTCCTTTCTCCAGGACCCGTCCATTTATTTGCCTTCTTGCCTGGCCTTGAAGGGGAAAGGGGATTCCAGACTTGTGGAATGGCAGACACAGGGGCCCAGGAAGTGGTATGCCCTCCTCTTCAGAGAACTGTATGTGGTCTGCTGTGGCTGGGGTTGGGGTGGCTGTGTGAGGGACATGCTAGAACCTAGAAAGGCAAGTTAGGGCTAGATTACAAGGGATGGTTTGAGCCATGTCACTCACCTCTAGGCTTAGGTAATAGAGAGACATTGAAAGTTTTTCAACTGGTGAATAACATAATCAAATCTACATTTTATTTTCTTTTTTATCCTCCAAGATGCATCAAAACTACATTTTGAAAGATTCATTACTGATTTCTGATCCCAGGAAGAATTGGTGTGGCCCCTCAGAATCAAGCAGTCACAGTTTTCTCTATTTGAAGAAAAAATAAGGTTATTTTCCCAATTGTTGGTTTTTCTTCGATAAAATTTATTTAAATACTTGGTGTCTGCTAGCAAGTGCCAGCAATCAGTAAGACCATGGAAAGGATGTAGGTTAAAAGCAATAGGCTGGGCCCAGTGTCTCATACCTTTAATCCTGGCATTTTAGGAGGCCAAGGCCAGTTTATTTCTTGAGCTTAGGAGTTTGAGATCAGCCTGGGCAGCATGGTGAAACCTCGACTTTACAGAAAATACAAAAATTAGCCAGACGTGGAGACATTAGCTAGTATTCCCAGCTACTCCAGAGGCTGAAGTGGGAGGATCACTTGAACCCAGGTGGTGGAGGTTGCAGCAAGCCAGGATCGTGCCACGGCACTCCAGCCTAAACAAAAGAGTGAGACTCTGTCTAAAAAAAAAAAAAGTAATAGAAAAATTTAGAAATTAAAAATTCATGTAAATAAATGAATTTATTTAATCTGAGCTCGGTACAGATAAATTAATAATGTGTTCTGCTAGTAAAATGATTTCTAACTCATGTGTACAGTATTTTATGGTGCTATTCAAAGAGCACATGACTCCCAGGAGCCCATCACATGAACATGTTTGAAATGTTTTAAAAGCAAACTCTACTGCTGCATAGGAAATGGGGTTAATTGGGACAACCAAAGGCAATGGCAGCAGTAGGTGGCATTGCAGTGATAGAAGCACATGATGAGAGCCAGAACCAAGATGGGTGGGAAAAAAAGGAGTGAGCTAAAAAATGTTTAGGAAGCAAATGAAAGATGTTAGTGTCCAATTGGGCATGGATGGTGAGAAAGAAGGAGCTTCAGGAATGAGTCCAGTATTGTCTAGATGGGAGGTACTATCAATCAAAAGAGAGTAGGGCTGGGTTGGTGGAATAAGGGATACGGAGCTGTTTTGAACTATGTTGAGGGTGACTTGAGAAGGCTGCTGAGCTCCCAGAAGGAGCAGTGCAGTTGTTGGTTGAAATGTTCAATACACATGGGTATATTGCCTGGACACAAGGGTGACCTCATTTAAAGGATGACACCACAAAGAACACGAGCTAGTCCAGAAAGAGTGAGGAAAGAGAGGAGAGAACAAGATAAAGCAGGAATCCTGGGGAAGATCAAGATTTAAGTGTTAGTGAGGCAAGGGGAACTAGGGAAGGACATTGAGAGAGAATCTTCAAAGAGAGAGAAAATATCAATAAACTGCCATGTTATAAGAGCCACAAGTCACATTTCAGTTCAGAGGGGGCAACCATCACCTCTGAAGTTCCAGAGAGATAAGCCAGACTATAGCTTTTCAGTACTGTTGATTTGATTGATTTTATTAGCTTATTAGTTTGACAATAAGATAACAAGAGGGATCTGAGGGCAGGAATTGTGAACTTGGGTGCATGGCAATAAATGAGATTAATGGGGCAATAGTAAGAAGTATAGGGTACTGTGACAAACTAAAAAGCATGTTTAACTAAGAAGGCACCATCATCAACTCTCGTTGATTGTTGCCAAGCAGGAACATGGGTACAATGATCAGAACATCTGAATTTTCAAGAAAAGTCAGAGATCTGGATTTTTATATGAAATCTTACAATTCTTTATCTTAGCAATACTTTCAAAAACTTTCATACTCTGTGAGATCTGAATTAAACACATCTTTGGGCGCGGTGGCTCACACCTGTAATCCCAGCACTTTGGGAGGCCAAGGTGGGTGGATCACAAGGTCAAGAGATCAAGACCATCCTGGCCAACATGGTGAAACCCCATCTTTACTAAAAAATACAAAAATTAGCTGGGCGTGGTGGTGTGCACCTATAGTCCCAGCTACTCAAGAGGCTGAGGTGGGAGAATTGCTTGAACCCAGGAGGTGGAGATTGCAGTGAACCAAGGTTGCGCCACTGCACTCCAACCTGGCACCTGGCGACAGAGCAAGACTCTGTCTCAAATAAAAATAAAAATAAAATAAACACATCTCTGAACTGCCAGTTTGAAATCTCTGCCTTTGTCAATGTCCTTAGTGTGGCGGGGGCTGAGCTAATGGCAGCAGGCCAGGAAGTGATTGGGCAAAGAGGAAATGGAGACCATGAGCTTAGATCACTACTTTAGGAAGGGTGGGTAAAAGAAGGAGAACTAAGGAGGCAGACAGGCTCAGGGAGGGTGTCTTGGGTAGGAAGAGCTGTTTCTAGGCTGAGAGAAAGAGGGTGGAGAGAGGGAAGTTGAAGATTCTGGTGAAGAAAGACTAGTTGATGAAATAAGGATCTGAAAGAGTCAAGGGGTTGGAAGAAAGGATGTTGATGAATTTTGTGCCTGGAGGCCTTTACTTTCTTGGTGAAGTGGGGTAGGAGATGAATCAAGAAGCTTGAAGAGAGGAGCAAAGGTTAGGGACAGCCTTGAAGGACATAGGAAGGGTGCTGACAAGGATGCATGGAAGGCTGCTACACTTGGGATCTGCTGAGGGGAAACCCATACAGTGCAAGTCATGGGCCTGGAAGTGGGTATTGGTGTGAGAGGTTAAGCACCTGTTACCTTCCAAGCCCTGTGTCAGGCATTTCATTCTCTTACCTGATGTATTCCTCCCAGCAATCCTGCTCACTCAACTGAGTTCACTCATGAATGAGTGGCAGCCTCAAGAGTCACACCCTTTTCTAGCTGGATTGGAAGTCCATTTGATTCCACCACACCACCACTCCGTGCTGCTGTCCGCCCCCCCACCAGACCCCCGAGGCCTCAGACACAACTGCAGAGGAGATTGGGCCAGTGAATTCTTGTCTGGGCATTTCCTGGCTGGTTCGATTGGGAAGTCAAGGGGAAAGAATGGAGGATGTGATGAAGAAAGGAATGGAGATCCATGAAGCAATAAGTGAGGACAGACAGGAATGATGAACTGAGGAAACAGGCTGGAGGAAGAGAAGACCTGATGAGGTCTAGGAGACAGTGAATGAGAGATTGCATCAGGGCAGGGCAGTGGGGTTGGTGAGGAAGGACTGTGTTCTTGAAAAATTTCAATATGAGGATGAAGATGAAGGAAAGGGAGGTGAGATAAGGATGACTCCAGGGTGTCTAGCCTGTGCAGTGGGGTGGGCAGGGATGCCTTCAGTCACAGCATTAGTTACCACTTTGATGTCATGCCATCTCTCTGTCCCTTGCTCACTGTGCTGGACCACACTCACCAGCACGTTTCCACCACAGGTTGTCTAGAACATGCAGAGAGCACTCTTCCTCCAGATCTGCAGAAGTGGCTCATTCTCATATTCAAGTCACAGCTCCAGTGTCCCCTCCTCAGAGAGTCCTTTCGTGACCATGCTATCTACTGTAGCTCCCCTGGTCATTTTGTTTATTATAGACAACGTATTGAAATGGTAATTTATGGATTTGTTGACTTGCTTATTATTTGTCTTTTGTCCCTAGAGCGTATGCTCAAGGACATATAGGTCTTTTCATAGCTTTATTTTCCAATACCTAGAATAATGTTTGGCACATAGTAGGAATTCACTCAAGAGAGACAGAGAGAGATAAATGAAGAAAAGGAAGGAAGAAAAGAAAGAAAAGAAGAAATAACACAGGTGAAGTGTGTTTGGGAGAGGGATGCTGAGTTTTGAGGTGCCTGGAAGACACCCAGGAGGTGACTTCCAATGGGAAGTTGGAAAGCAGGCTGGGGACTCAGGAAATGGACTGCCATGTTTCCCAGGAAGAAAGTGGGCCCACATGGTACAAGGGTGCAAGTTGTCCTTTGCATGGCTGACTGCCTCTTCAAGACCAGTGTTGGGAGTTGTCTGGTTTGGGGCCCCGTGGGAAGAAGAACCCCTCTGGTGGTAAGCTGAAGTTCGGTCAGAGTGCTCCTCACTTCTCTCTTCAGTTCTCTTCCTGGTTCTTGCTGCTGCCCTGGCTTTGTCCATTTCGCATCATTCTTCACTGCCAGCTACAAGACCCTGGATCTGAATGCAGACTAAATCTTTTCATCTCTTTTATCTTAAAGAGTATCTTACCCACCTCTGATTCATGGTGACAGGAGTCCAGCTTCGCCCAGGAGCTGGACTTAGTTTTACTGAATTAAAAAATACTTTCCCCTTGTGCTTGGTTCCTACTCCATTTCTGTTGGCCTTGTGGCCCTCCTGCCTTGCACAGGACACTCAGCAGACCCTGCTGTCCTTCTTTTGCAGGGTCCCCAGCTGCTGAGCAGCTCCAGGACATCCTGGGGGAGGAAGATGAGGCTCCCAACCCCACCCTTTTCACAGAGATGGACACTCTGCAGCACGACGGAGACCAGATGGAGTGGAAGGAGTCAGCCAGGTGAGGCGGGGCCCCACAAGGGAGGCGGGCCCTTCAGTCTTGCATAGCCTGAGCTGGCCTGACCCTCCTGGTGGGAAGCTGTACCTTGTACCTTGAGAGCTTCCTGGTCCACAAAGACCCACCCACCTGCCTTCCTTAGTGTCCAGAATTAAGGAACAAACAGAACCTTATGACTTTGTCTTTATCTTCAAAAAAATTAGTTCGAGTGGGAAGATAGAATAGTCACCCATGAAACTCTGAGAGTAATACAAGGGCATATACTGTTGTCCCTCCGTATCCACAGGGCATTGGTTCCAGGAGCCCTTGCTAATGGCAAAGTCCATACATATTCAAGTCTCCCAGTAGGCCCTGTGGAACTGTCTATATGAAAACTTGGCCCATATGCAGGTTTTACATCCCATAAATACTGTATTTTTTACCCCATTTGTTGAAAAACATTTGTGTGTAAGTAGACCCGTGCAGTTCAAAATCCATGTTGTTCAGGGGTCAACTGCATTCTTGCTGTTGTTACTGTTGCTGTTTTGCCAGAAACAGGGTCTCATTCTGCTGCCCAGGCTTCGGTGCAGTAGGGTAATCATAGCTCACTGCACGCAGGCTCGAACTCCTGGGCTCAAGCAATCCTCCCACTTCAACCTCCCAAGTAGCTTGGACTTCAGGCAAGCTACTTAGATAGGAAACTGAGGTGAAGGGAAGCAACTTTGCCCAGACCTGTCTCTGCATAGGGGCCACCATGACACCCTGAGCCTGACAGCTGCCCCCAACATACCACTGCATTCAACTAATTATTTTTATTTTTTGTAGCAATGAAGTCTCACTTTGTTACCTAGGATGTTCTTTTTTTTTTTTTTTTTTTTGAGACGGAGTTTCGCTCTTGTTACCCAGGCTGGAGTGCAATGGCGCGATCTCAGCTCACCGCAACCTCCGCCTCCTGGGTTTAGGCAATTCTCCTGCCTCAGCCTCCTGAGTAGCTGGGATTACAGGCACGCACCACCATGCCCAGCTAATTTTTTGTATTTTTAGTAGAGACGGGGTTTCACCATGTTGACCAGGATGGTCTTGATCTCTTGACCTCGTGATCTACCCGCCTCGGCCTCCCAAAGTGCTGGGATTACAGGCTTGAGCCACCGCTCCCGGCCAAGGATGTTCTTTAATATGAAGTGGTTCAAGCTAAATGTTGTAGAAGGGAAGTACCACGCAGGCTACGGTAGACAGTGAGGGCTTTCTGGAGGAAGGAGAAGGTGTGCCAGACACGTTGAGTCTGCATGGTGGGAAAAATCCAGATGGTGAGGGCTAGTGGACCACCAAAGAAAAGGGATCTGGCAGAGTTTGGGGCTGCAGAGTTGGAGCCATAGAGGAAAGCATAGGGAACAGAGAGTGCTCCATATATAGGGAGAGCAGAAGCGGGAGGGGAACCGCACAGAGAAGTCACAGGAGCCAAGGGAGGGGCAGGGTAAGAGTGGTTGGCACTGCTTATATCCCTAATGCCTGGGACAGAGGGGCCTTGGGACTGAATTGAATTGTTCAGCAGTGCCCAATGCTCCCAAGAGCCCAAGGGGAAGGAAGGCTGTGGTAAGAGGCAGCAGGAGGGACCTTCAGACAGGAAGACAGATTGTGCCAATGTTTCTCCACCTTCTTTACATGATGCCACTCTGCCCCCAGGAGAAAAACTGTAATCTTATTTAAATCAATTTTATTAAATTAAAATTTAATTTCTTTCATTAGAAATAAGGAATAAGAGCCAGGCACAGTGACTCATACCTGTAATCCCAACACTTTGAGAGGCCAAGGCAGGCAGATTGCTTGAGCCCAGGAGTTCAAGACCAGCCTGGGCAACATAGGAGAACTTCGTCTCTACAAAAAAGTTTTTTAGAAAATTAGCTAGGTGTGGTGGCACACATCTGTAGTCTCAGCTACTTGAAAAGCTGAGGTGTGAGGATCACATGAGCCAGGGAAAGTTGAGGCTGCAGTAAACTATAATTGTGCCATTGCATTCCAACCTGGGCAGCAGAGTGAGACTCTGTCTCAAAAAATAAAGGAATAAAAGTTGTCAGGTCTGGTGTAGCTGTAGAGTACCACAAATCATTGTAATATCTAAAATATTTTCACTCCCCCAAGAACCAATTATGCCCAAATTGAGAGTGCATGGACTCAACTTTGCCCAGGTCTGTCTCTGCATGGGGTTCACCATGACACCCTGAGCCTGACAGCTGCCCCAACCATGGCCTAGGCTCTTCCCTCACTCACCTCACCTAACTAGCCTGGGTAGTTGCTGTACAGAGCCAGAAGGCTGAGGTTTGGACACCCCCAGGTTTTCCCCACTCCATGTACCCTGCAGGGGTATCTGGAAGAAAGGCCACTGGGTAAACTAGCAAATAAATCCCTGTAGGCCTCAGGGAGGACCAAATTCCCAGCCCCACAGCTGGGCTCGGTCCCTGTGTGGAAGTCATTGAATCTTTTCCTATGAGCCCATTCTTTGAATGCTTACTGTGCTGATCGATCCACAGGCTTGCCCCCTACAAGTTGCACAGTGACCCTGAGTGGGCAGAATTTTCATTATCCCTGTTTTACAGAGAGGAAACTGAGGTGAAGGGGAGCAAGCAGCTTGCCAGGGGTCAGAGCATATGGATGGCTGAATCTGGATTCCAGTCCAGGCCTGTCTAACTCCCCACTTGTGGGCTAATAGACTTTGTCTTCCCTTCCTCATTTTCTCAGCCCTTTCTCTTTCTGTGTCTAACTTGCAGTGACTATTTTGACTTCTAGGGGAGGACATAGGTCTGGAAGCAATTCTGTTAGGGTTGGAGATACATGGGGATAGCTGCAGAGCCTGGGATGCCTATCCAAGATTGACGGGGAAGGAGGACATTTCAAATGACCAGGACCCACCCTGGGTTATTATGTCTTAACACCTCTGAAGGGCCAGGGCCTGAAGCCACTGTCTACCCTGAACGAGGGCCTCGCCTGCCCAGGGTGGGCAAATAGACAGGAGGAAAGCTGGGCAGGACTTTCTCAGAGGCCCAGGAGGGAGAGGGTGCCTTCTCCACACCCTGGACAGGGTCTACATCCAGAACCCCTACCCATGGTTGCTAGGACCAGATCTTCCACGAGGGCCTATCACACACACCTGTGGAGCCCTTGCTAAGAAAGCTTTATGGCCTCCAGAGACCTGACTGTCACCAAAGGCAAAACACATTGTCTGTCTCTATTCTCTTAGCATGTGGATCCACAAAGCCCTCTGCACTACAGACCCTGTGATGGAACTAAGAAACTGTAGATGAGGATATTTCTAGAAGGAGGCTTCTCCTAAAATATAAATGAGGAACCGGCACAAGTTCCCTGTGGCTGGACTGTAGACCGAGAGACTGGGAATGGCAGGGCTGATGATGATGCAGGTTCTATGCCAGCCATGTTGTAGTGTTTGGCGGTAGGGCCTGGCAGTTACTGTCTGCAAAGTAGTGGGTTTCCCTGCAAAGCAGACTTTCTGAAGATAGCATCTAAGGAGGTCCTGGAAGAAAGGGCATCAGGACCTCAGGACAACATGGCTGCAACCAGCAGTGAAAAGAAAGTGATGACTAGAAGTTAAAGTGGCTCAACCCAATTCTAGGCAGATCTCAGAGAGGAGTAGCTTGAAGGCCAGTTTGGGGACAGGAAGACGTGGGAGGAGAGGAGCTTTCCTGACTTATGCTCTACCCTCTTCTGTTCTCTATAGCTAACCCCATCTGATTTCCAGATAACTGGCCAAGGTATGATCAGCAAGCCCCTAGTGAAGTCAGAAGAGGGGTCTGTCTGACCATTGGCCAAGAAGCCCACCATGTCCTGGACAGTTTTGCTGGGTCCTTCTCCAGGCAAACTGCAAGTTTAGAGGTGCTTAGGTCAGAGCCATTTGAGGCCTGTCACTCCCACAAAAAAACCCAGAAACCAGTTTCCTCAGTTGACAGGCTAGTGGATCCACTCAGAGAAGCCAGAGATCTCAGACATTTCGAGGAATCTAAGAATCAGCAAATCATAAAATGTTCTGGGCCTCCTTGGAGTAACAGGAGAAAATGATGTGGAGTAGGAGACAGCCCCTCACACAGACACTCAAGCTCCAAGAGTGTTACGGGTCCCGCAATACCCATGTCAAATAGAATCAAGGAGGGGACCCTTTAATAAAAGTATTTAATTTGCTGCAGGGAGTGTTTACTTTATTGAGTTAGGAGATTAACAGAGTGAAAATCTCAAATCCGCAAGGAATTTTCCCTGGCGGTGCTTTGTCGGGAGTTATTAGTTTGGGGGATGTTGCAGGCCCTTGGAGGAGTCACTCCTGGAGGGATTTAAATGGCTTTTTGAGCTCTGCTGAGCCTTGCGCCATGCACATAATGGGGACTGTGTGTGCAGCGTCATTTCTAATGTGATCAATGCTGGTAGGTCAGGCTGTTAATAAGATAGATTTTTATTAACTCTGTCTCTGGCATTCCCATGAGGGAAATACAGCTGGCTGTTTGCTGATAATGACCTTGCCCGAAGGGAGGGCTGGATCAGGTTGAGTGGGGGGTGACCATCTGACTGTGAGCAAACTACCCAGAATTCCATCCTCTCTCATGCCCATCTCTGCCTCACTGCAAGTGGAGAGGTGGGAAGGAGAATGACCTGGGTTGGAACCTACCCAAGTATGGAGAGCTCCTTGGGGTTACTCAGAAATAACCAGAGCTTAGCGCCTCCCAAGAACTGTGAAAGCAAATTCCAAATCCAAGCTGCTTTGGGTCTCAGAGCAGACCACAAACACAAACTTGCCAGAAGATTCTTAAGAGACACATGCTTTGAGAACATTCTTGCAGTGACCAGGAAGGGGCAGGAAGCGGAGCAGGAGAAGTGGGTCAGTTTGCTGGGTCAAACCAGATCAGTACATTTTTGAAAGCCCAGAATAGTTCTATGCACATAGGCAGGGATACTTTCTCACTACATACAGGATGGAGAAAGCTGAACTTTGTGTCAACCCTGAAATCACCCTCATTAAGATCCTG